GTAAAATCCCGATTTTACCCGGAACTATTCCAATGTCCAAACATAGGCTTCCAATATATCAATCTTTATGTCTCGACCATTTCAAGACTCCTTGTCATGTCTGTGATCATATCCGGGACTCCGAACTACCTTCGGTACATCAAAACACATAAACTCATATTATCGATCGTCACCGAACTTTAAACGTGAGGACCCTACGGGGTCGAGAACTATGTAGACATGATCGAGACTCGTCTCTGGTCAATAACCAATAGCGGAACCTAGATGCTCATATTGGTTCCTACATATTCTACAAAAATCTTTATCGGTCAAACCGCATAACAACATACGTTGTTCCCTTTGTCATCGGTATGTTACTTGCCCGAGATTCGATCGTCGGTATCTCATACCTAGTTCAATCTTGTTACCGACAAGTCTCTTTACTCGTTCTGTAATGCATCATCCCGCAACTAACTCATTAGTCACAATGCTTGCAAGGTTTATAGTGATGTGCATTACCGAGAGGGCCCAGAGATACCTCTCAGACAATCGGAGTGACAAATCCTAATCTCGATCTATGCCAACTCAACAAGTACCATCGGAGACACCTGTAGAGCACCTTTATAATCACCCAGTTATGTTGTGACGTTTGGTAGCACACAAAGAACATGTATAAGTCATGAAGAAAGCAATAGCAATAAACTAAACGATCATCGTGATAAGCTAACAGATGGGTCAAGTCAATCACATCATTCTCTAATGATGTGATCCCGTTAATCAAATGACAACTCATGTCTATGGTTAGGAAACATAACCATCATTGATTCAACGAGCTAGTCAAGTAGAGGCAAACTAGTGACACTCTATTTGTCTATGTATTCACACATGTACTAAGTTTCCGGTTAATACAATTCTAGCATGAATAATAAACATTTATCATGATGTAAGGAAATATAAATAACAACTTTATTATTGCCTCTAGAGCATATTTCCTTTAGAGAAATGAGTTGGGAATTCAAGTGATGATGGGCGAGCAGTATAACACTAACGCAGGCTCCTTCGATGGATGGCCTCTGGTAGGCATCCAGGGAGTATGATCAACGGTTGGTGGTAGCCGGCACAGTGGGAGGCAGTGTTGGGAATGGGGAATCGCTGGATCAAGAGTTGGACATGTGTCCTGTACAAAGAGTTAAGATTTTATCTTTTCGACGAGTCGCATAAAAGGTAGGAGGAGGAGTGGCGGCCAGGTGATTACGAGCCTATGAGCTATGATCGGTTTAAGGAATATGAGATTTAGGGTGGGCCATAGGGGTTGGATGTTGACCCCACATATCATAGGAGTTACATTCATTAAGGAATACAAGATTTAGGATGGGCCATACGAGTATCCGTTGGTTTTACCCATGGCTAAAAATTTTATACCCACATCATACCAATATATTTTGCGAGTATGGATACCCATTACTCATGGGTACAAAATCTCTCCAAGTCTTGCCCATGCCCATTGTTTTAGGGTAGGGTACCTGCGGGTACACATAGCCATGGGCAAAACTATCATCCCTACTTTATTGGAATTTTCATATTTCTTGTTACTTCTCTGGCTTTCAGTTTTATTTAGTGTATTTTATCCTTTTTGTTTTTCTATTTTCAAGATATTTTTCTTTTAGTTCTTTATCTTCTACATTATTTTTTCATTTTACTGATAGTTTCTAGTTAATATGTTGTTTTTTAATCACACTTTTTTCAAAATAAGTGTGAATATTTCAAATTTCACGAACAGTTTTCAAAATTTAATGAACAATGTTTTTCAAAAGCTTGAATATTTTATGATAATGCATGAATACCTTTTTAATTCATGCACATTTCTTACTAATATGTAAGCATGTTAAGAAAATATGTGAATATGTTTTCAAACTATATGAACATGTTTAAATGCACGAACATTTTCTAAAAGCGTGATTTTAAAAAAAAATTGAACTAAACTATATAAATATTTAATATCTTTTAAAGTAAATATAAAAAGAAGTAACAAAAGGAAAGAGGAAAAACATAAAAGGAAATAAAAGCCAGCCAACTTTTGCTAATGGGTCGACCTAATATATAAGTTAGCGGGCGGTGTGGTGTTATTGGACGTTATAAGCGTTCTATGATAGCCCTAGTGCTGGTATGATGTGCGCTGTTGGGGACTTGTCAATTGCCTTTTGTCATTGGCGAGTGAGTGAATTTATTCTAAAACACATGTCATATGTAAGTAACACCCCGCCTTCCCTCAAGTCCAAATTTCATGTTCAATAAAAGTTAAGGACGACAGCATCACAGAAAATATATTCTTTATACTCCTGGGGTTCCTTCCCGTCACCACGCAAGGGTGGCAAGGGGGGAGGGGGTGTTTGTCTGTACTCCAGCTGATGAACCCCGTGAAATGAGAGCTAAGGATGGCACCCCCCCCCCCCCTCAAAAAAAATAAAAATAAAAAGAACCACCACCCAGCATAACTTAACCCCGGGACCTAGCATCCAGGCATGGCTGAACGTAATGGGAGTAATTTAGACTAGTAACATATATTACTACCTCCATAATGGATAGTAATATATGTGTAGTGTCATACAACATCTTATTTATTAGGTTGTAGACTCATTTTACTTTCGTACGTGTGATGTTACAGTAGCATATTATGTTACCACAAGCTCCTTTTTTTTTATTAATTACTTACCACAACATCTTTTTTGCCTAGATATATGTGATGTTACCACTATGACGAGTCGAGGAAGGGACAAAGACAATGGAAACACAAACCTCTAGTTTGAGCAGCTAGTTTGATCATTCATGCAAGTCTCAGTCCGACTGATCCATCCATCCAACCACCAAATATACCACCACCCTCCGCAAGCTGCAATCACTCGAGCTACATGTCGATGCAGAACGTTTTCGGTATTTATATACCGGAATAGACCGAATGAGCGCATGTGGCGCAGCGGCTGGCCATCGGAAGCGCTGGGGAGAACCTGTCACGCAGCTCGCCCAACCAACACGAGCCTCTTTCCTTCGCGGCGCACGCGGATGTGGTTTTTAAATTAAAAAGGAGAAAGCTAGGTCAACCGAATGAATTGATGAGCGCGATCGAACGAGCAGAGAGGCAACAGCGCGTCCGCCGTCGTCGTCGTCCCCGGCCGGCCGCGCCGTTGGATCGCTCGCTGGAGGCTGCCGCTGCCGCTGCCGCTACGACGCCGCCCGTGTAGTAGTACTGTACGCGTCGTCTACCTGTGCGTGCCTCCTTAATTCCGAGTGGTTGAGCGCCCCGGGTAACCACCGCCATTAATAGGCCACCCTCCCTACCTGTCTACTACCCGTCTCTTTCTTTCTCCGCTTCGCTTACTGCGGGTCCCACCGCCTGACGGACGCCTCTTCTCCTCCGGGTCAATCCATGACTCCATGAGCACCGCGAGACGTCGTAACAGTAACACTTTTGGATTGGAATTAGACGTGGTCGATACGTACAGCTCCTCCTGTACAGGTAGCAAGTGCGTCGTCACTTGGAGTTGTACCGGTATACCAAGTTTGGCTACGGGTAGTTTTCATCAGAAGAAAAAAGAGTCTGGGTGCAGGTACAGGCCGGGCTGTAGTCGTGGCACGTACTAAGCGCGCGTTTTGCCGCCGTCGCCGGTACGTACACCTATATGGAACACGGGCCGGCCGAAGCTTCCGTGCGCGCCTTACGGTTTGGGCGCCTATAAGTTTGACTGCCCCGGCAGCGGCAGAGGCCACAAGTTTGTTCCGGGAGGCCACCGTCGCGGTCTAGTTGGTCGCGCACCCTATATATACCGAGCCGCCCGCCGAGGCCAACTCACGCTTCCGGCTCCGGCGCCTCGGTCCAACTCACACCAAAGGCGATCGACACGCGAGTACGTCTCGAGATCCATGGAGTCTGCGCCGGCGGCGGCCTTCATGGAGCGGGAGCGCCTCACGGCGGAGGTGACATTCTCCGGGGACGCGCAGGCGGCGGCCTCGTCCGAGGGCGCCGAGCGGCTGCCCACCAGCATCATCATCAAGATCCGGCGCCGCCTCCCGGACTTCGCCCGCTCCGTCAACCTCAAGTACGTCAGGCTCGGGCTCCGCCACGGCGGCAGCCTCACGTCCTACCTGCCCATGCTGTGCGTGCCGGTGCTCGCCGCGGCCGCCTACTCCTTCGTCCGCCTCGACGTCATCTACCTCTCCATCGACCTGCTCAGCTGCGTCGCCTGGCTCGGCACCGCCATGCTGCTGCTCACCGTCTACTACTTCAAGCGGCCTCGCCCGGTCTACCTCGTCGAGTTCGCGTGCTACAAGCCGGAGGACCAGAACAAGATCACCAAGGAGGCCTTCCTCGACATGACCGAGAGCACCGGCTGCTTCAATGACGAGACGCTCGCGTTCCAGACCAAGATCACCACCCGCTCCGCGCTCGGCGACGAGACGTACCTGCCCCCCGGCGTCCAGGCGCGCCCGCCGAGGCTCAACATGGCCGAGGCGCGGCTGGAGGCCGAGGCGGTCATGTTCGGCTGCCTGGACGCTCTGTTCGAGTCCACCGGGATCGACCCGCGCCGCGACGTGCGCATCCTCATCGTCAACTGCAGCCTCTTCAACCCGACGCCGTCGCTGGCGTCCATGATCATCCACCATTACAAGATGCGGGAGGACGTCAAGTCGTTCAACCTGGGCGGCATGGGGTGCAGCGCCGGCCTCATCGCCATCGACCTCGCCAAGGACATGCTCCAGGCAAACCCCAACGCGTACGCGGTCGTCCTCAGCACCGAGAACATCACCCTCAACTGGTACTTCGGGAACGACCGCTCCATGCTGCTCTCCAACTGCATCTTCCGCATGGGCGGCGCGGCGGCTCTGCTCTCGAACCGGCGCGCGGACGCCGGGCGCGCCAAGTACCGCCTCCTGCACACGGTCCGGACGCACAAGGGCGCCACGGACGAGTGCTTCAAGTGCGTGTACCAGCGCGAGGACGACGTGGGCAAGGTGGGCGTGTCGCTGGCGCGGGAGCTCATGACGGTGGCCGGCGACGCGCTCAAGACCAACATCACCACGCTGGGGCCGCTGGTGCTGCCCCTGAGCGAGCAGCTCAAGTTCCTCAAGTCGCTGATGATGCGCCGGGTGTTCCGCGCCAAGGGCGTGCGGCCCTACATCCCCAACTTCCGGCGAGCCTTCGAGCACTTCTGCGTGCACGCCGGCGGGCGGGCGGTGCTGGAGGAGGTGCAGCGCAGCCTGAGCCTGGAGGACAAGGACATGGAGCCGAGCAGGTGCGCGCTGCACCGGTTCGGCAACACCAGCAGCAGCTCGCTGTGGTACGAGCTGGCCTACGCCGAGGCCAAGGGCCGGGTGAAGCGCGGCAACCGCGTGTGGCAGATCGGCTTCGGGTCCGGGTTCAAGTGCAACAGCGCGGTGTGGCGCGCGCTCCGCGACGTGCCGGCCGTGTCGCCCCCGGGGCCGGAGGAGAAGGCCTGCAACCCGTGGGCGGACTGCGTCGCCAAGTACCCGCCCAAGGCCTACGTCTGACGATACATTACTACGCCGCCGCCGCATGACTCCACACGAAGATTACATGATTCTTTTCTCCTATAATTTTTCTGCATTTCGTTTCCCGTAGGTGGCTGTACCTCAGGTTCCATGGGCGAGCAGTGCCGTTGTTTTCAGCTTTTGTACTTCAAGTGTGAATTATAAACGACAAATATATACGACGAGGTTTCATTCCAGCCATGATTGTATGATATGATCTGTTCCTGGATTAGATAGATTGCTGCTCCGGCGCTCGGGCCCCGTTTCGTCCGTAACGTATGGATTGAGTTCGCGGGCTCGCCACTTGAACCTTCCAAAACGTTGTGCCACGGCTCTCTTCTGGTCGGCTAACGGCCTTGGTTTCCCTGGCCCTCGGTTCAGTTTCTTCCTACATCTCAACGAGCTGACCACGCCTGCCGCGTGTGCCCAACCGAGGAAGAGTCTCGACATGCATGCTCATTGGTGTAACGTGTAAGGTAGTATAGCATATGATGATGAGCGATTACTTGGGTCTGTTTGAGCACGACTTCTCTCTGGCCCCCGTGGAAAAATAGCATCCAGTTCGGGGCATGCTTGATTAATGTTGGTATGGTGGTTCGGTGTTGGATTGACTTACCAATCCATGCAGTTGAAGGTCGTTCATCGGCAAATTAATTGCGGCGTCCATCGGTCTATTTTGCATGGCCATCACTCAACGCTCCTCTGACTTTCTGCATTCATAGCTGTACGCAACGGTCGAAAACTCGAAAGCGTACGGTCTACTCCTACTCTGATTTACGGTATTTTGTTTAATTATCTTTGTCAAAAGTTTGCAAACTATTCATAAAATATCACGATGGTGCAAAGAACACTACAAGTAAAATAAATTACATCCATGTATGTACACCACCTAGCAATGAGTACATGCACTAGAGCAAGCCAAAGACGCGTCGATGTCATCGCTCGTTCCTTATTGGAGCCGGACAAACCTTGTTGTTGTAGACAGTCGAGACGTGCACGGAGAATTTTCGACTATCGTCGACAAGGTCAGGCCGACTCCGGTATGGGAGCAAAGACAACGACACATTATCGGCTCGTTCTGATGACAACAGTGGTTGTTCGACGGTTCATGAACCTCGATGTAAATTTTATTATGTCTGAGATGTTTTCTACTTTTGGTCAATTTTTATAATAAATTTGATTCTTTTCAGAAAAAAACATAAGTTATCTCAGCTATTGACACATATGGTAAGCAGTCTAAACAATTAGAAAAAACTAAATTAGACACGGTCCCAACATCGCTGCCCTGTTTTTTTCTTTTAAAAAATGGTTTCCGTAGTACTTGCACACAACGACACACCATTGACGTACAAATGAAGCATTGGCGCATCGCGCCGTTTTGAATGCGACGATCCAAACAGAGGCATTGTACTAGCTGGTACACTCGGTTGGGTGGTGTCTTTTCCAATCTATAAGCAGCTAAGCAAATATAGTACTCCCATGACAGCGTAGCTCCACCAATCGGCCATAAACCCGCCTTCTACTTAATCGCATTCAAGACGATGGCCAAAGGAAAAATGACATTCAAGACAAGCTAATCTTCAAAGGGATACCGTGACAAGAAAGGCCGGGAAATTTCAAAGCGGCCGGGCGAAAGCCGCGAGAAAGTGACCAAACAACTCCCAACCCCCAACCATACTACTTTTAGGACTCGATATGAACGCACGAGAACGTTGGAAAAAATCACAAAATGGGCGGGGGGCGGGGCCAACCCAAACCGGGAGTCCAACCGAGCCGCGGCACCGGATGGCCCTGGAGACCTCAGAGGACCGCATTGATTGGGCGGGCACTTTCCTGACGCCTGACTAGTTGAATTCTGACGGTGACGATGAGGTGATGGGCGGCAGCGGTAGACGGCTACGGACTCGGTACACGACAGGGCACTGCGTACCAGCACACGGTTACTTCCTTCATTCCAAATTACTCATCGTGGCTTTTTCCAAATTACTCGCCGTGGCTAAAATCACGACGAGTAATTTGGAACGGAGGGAGTACAATCTAGGGGGCGATCAACGATGATTAAATTGACCCATGTGTCGCTCCGAGCAACTCCACGCACGGGCCTTTTTTTTACCGGATCAACGGACTCGCTTGATTGGCATGTTTTGATTGGGTAGAATTACGGTGAGGGGCCCATCCTCATTGAAAATTGCGTGGGAGGAGGGGGGGGATTAGTTTGGAATATGCCCGTAAAACCCACTAACCAATCTGTGCGTTTAAAATTTTCGATGTCGCTCCCCTGGGTGACCCGGGCGCGAGCAACTCCAACGCGCCGACCCGAACGCTAAGGAACTGTTTGGATGGCTGCCTAACCAAAATATTGGCGTTGACCATGGTCTTCCGTTTGGATGCCAGCTAGTTTTTCAACGGTGTGCCAACTTTTTGACAGTCCCTTCAGTTTTTCATTCCTCACGCTCGCGAGTTGACAGCGGCAGATTCTTGCGCCAATAATTTGGCGTGCCCTGCATTGGTAGGGCGAGTACAGGCGAGAACCAAACAACCCCTAAACCTACGCGGGTGCCGCCACACCCCCACCCCTCACCCTCCCTCCACCCACTGCCGGCGAGCGCCGTCAGACAAAGCCCGTGTGGTGTGGGCTGCACGGGGCAACTGTGGCAACATGTGTAGCTGGGCCCGGGCAATTGCGGCCCCGCGCACCATGGCGGCGAGTGGTGGCTTGCGCGCGCAGCCGACGCGAGGTGGCCATGGGCGTCGAAGGAGCTGGGTCGCAGTGGCCGGTCGGGCCAGATCCAACACACAAGGAGGCAACGTTTGGTCGATGGAGGCTGTCGATGGTTTCTTCCCTTCAAGCGTCTCCATGCCCGGCTCCTTTGAGCTCGGTGCTGTCCAGCGCGTACGATGCTAGAGGGGGCTCGGGCAGACCGGCTCCTTCAATTTTTTTTCTTCAAATTATAAATTAAACTAACCGAAAGAAAAGAAATGGGAACGACAAAAAAAACTGACGTGCGCCATATAGCTGGACCAGGCCCCTCTCGTGCGAGAGAAGCAAGCGACACTCAGAAGACACGTGCATATCGAGGGACGACTATGTCTCGCTTCATGGGACACATAGCGTCGGCTCGCTTCACACGCCTCCCTAAATGGGCTGGTCAAGCGCATGGGAGGCCACTGCCTTGTTTTTTTTTCACTATACTTTTGCATTCTATTTTAAAATCTGTTTATATTTCCAAAATTTCTAGAGAAAATGTTAACCAAGCATTTGAATTTTCTTAAATATGTATAGAGGAATATGTTTCTCATGTATATGAAAGATGTAGACAAAAAATATACAATGTGTATGACAAAATTGATAATTTATTAAAAAAATGTTAATCAAGCTTTAAAAAATATTAATCAAGTATTATAAAAACGTTAAATGTGTATAAAAAATGTTTGCCATGTACAAGTTATATACAAAAGGAGAACATGTACAAAAAAAGTTTATCATGTTTTCTAAAAAGGTTAAAAATGTATAAAATAAATGTTCATGATGTATAGAAAAAATGTAGAAAATTCATAAATATTTGAACACAAAAAATATAAGTTTTCTAAAATGTTGATCATATATAAAAAATGTTAAATCATATATGTCAAAAATGCTAAATAGTACTCCCTCCATCCCAAAATAAGTGTCTCCACTTAATACTAACTTTAGTACAAAGTTGTACTAGAGTCGAGACACTTATTTTGGGACGGAGGGAGTACTATTAAAATGTTATTGGTATATACCCAAAATGTACAATGTGTATGAAAAACGTAGTCGTCAACCACAAAATTTTGCAAAACTGTTAATCATCTATTTTGAAAAATGTTTAAAATGTACAAAAAATGTTACTACATATACGAGTAATGTAGAACATGTATTAAAAAATTTAACATAAAAACATATTTTTTTAAATGTTGATCATGTAACAAAACATGTTAATCATTTGTTTCAAAAAACTAATATGTATTAAAAATTGTTCCTGATATATGCCAAAAATTTACAATATGTATGAGAAAAGTAGTCATCAAATATCATTATTAATAGGGATGAAAATGGAGTGGAAACTTTCCGTTTTTCTGGAGAAAAATGGAAACGGAGAGGAAATATGAAAATGGAAACGGAAATTTACAAAACGGAAGTGGAAATGGAATTTTTTATGCGGAAACGGAAACAGAAACGGAACGGTGTTTTCCGATGGAACATGCATGGAAATGAAACTTTCCGTTTCCGTGAATATGAAATTTTTGTTTTTACTATAGACATATAGCTGCTTTGTAGCCCAACCACCAAAGAGAACACAATGACACAATTAGTAGAATGAATCTAAGGCCCAACTTCTACTACGACACATGTACTCAGCTTGACCCTATATGCAATTGTCTGGTACTACTACAATACTACGCTAAGTTGCTACATAATAATATTATTTTGTAGCCATGTTAACAACTCATTGAATTTGTTTGTTTTTGTGTGTATTTCTCTATGATTCAAGGGGTTTTTAAGTTCCGATCAATGCCTATTTCTGTTTCCCTATCCGCTTTGTATTCGCTCCGTGTCCGTTTCCGATAGTATCTATTTTCGTATTCATTTCCTTGGTTTCTGTATTCGTTTTCGCTTCTGCAAAAAAGTGTGAAAACAAATATGATAGCACTCAGTTCCGTCCGTTTCCGCTCTGTTTTCATCCCTAATATTTAATGTTGATCATCTATTTGAAAAATGTTAAACATGTATAAAAAATGTTCCCGACATACACGGATTTTTTAAAAATGTTTATAAAAATGTATACATGTGTTGAAGAAAATTTTAAAAGAATTAAGAAAACCAAAATTAAAAAATGGAATGAAAACAAAGAAAAATCAAGAAAACAAATAAAACACAAAGGAAATGAAGAAACTTAGAAACAAGGAAAAAATTCAGTGAAAATCGTGAAAGAAACAAAAAAAATGAAAACCGTGAAATATACGAAGAAAACCGATGAAAAACAAAAATCGTAAAGAAACAAAGGAAACTGAAAAAAAAAACTAAAACAAAACAAAAAAACAGAAAGAACCCAAAAGAAAACTGGGAAAGGAAAAAAGAAACCCAAACTCATAGAATGAAGAACCAACGATCGAAGAAAATGAAAAGGCCAGCCCAGTTTACGACAGGGATGATAATGCTTGAGCGAGACAGAAGCTATACACACTATAAGCGTGATATATAGTCTTGGTGCGCGTATCGCTCGCAACGATACGCATCAGCGCCCGGATTAGGCGAAATCGCTAATTAATAAGTACTCCTTCCAAAGATCACTTCCTCACAATGATACACATCAGCACCTGGTTTAGGCGAAATCACTAATTAATAACTACTTCTTCCAAAGATCGTTTCCTTACCACCCAGGAGTTTTCCTCTTTTTCATAAATTTATTTATTCAAAACGTTTTATCTCTTAAATCATGCATCCAAATCTCGATCCGATTTCAATGTTGGATTCCTGGCGTCGAGTCAAAAATAGATCTCATGTTGATAGGTTTTGACAAAAAAAAACAAAAAAAAACTGAACGAAAAAACAGAACCAGGGGCATGCATTTTTTTTCTTTTTCTTTTCGGAAGCAGTTTCCGAGACGGAAGAAAAAAAGAAGAAAAAAAACATATTTTTTCTGTTTCCGAGAGGTATAGCCGTGCCTTTCGCGGAAGCAAAATCGTGCCTCTCACGGGAGAAAGAAAAAGAGAAAACAAGAGAAAACATGTTTTTTCCGTTTCCGAGAGTTACAGCCGTGTCTCTCGCGGAAGCAAAACCATGCTTGTCGCGAAAGAAAAAGAACACATTTTTTCCATTTCTAAGAGACATGGCCGCGCCTCTCGCGAAAGAAAAAAAACACATTTTTTTCGTTTCTGAGAGGCACAACCGTGCCTCTCTTGAAAAAAAGAAAGAAAAGACATGTTTTGTTTCATTTCCGAGAGGCACGACTGTGCCTCTCGCAGAAGCCCTGCCTCTGACGAAAAAAACACAATTTTTTGCGTAAATTTGTTTTTCGATTTTTTTTTATCGTAAAGCTAAGAAAAACCGATGAAAAACTGAATAGTAATAAAATCCCATTTAAAAAGCCAAAAATGCATGGGAAAAAGTAAAATAATAAAATCCGAACGGAACACCCAGAATGCGACACGTGACGGCGGCTGAGAGCGCATCAAGTAGCCCACACCATGTGATCATTAGGGAGGCTTTCGAAGGAGCGCTCCTCAACTAGTTACTCTCTGGTTCAGGCTAGCCTAAAAAAAAGAAACCTAAGGTTTAGTCCCATCAGGCTGGGCTCTGGGCTGTTACATTTCTAGGCTTGGTCCAGGGCCGGCCTTGGCTAGGTATTTAAAAAAAGGTATTCTCAAAATAAAAGAAGTGCTCAAAAAAAAAATGGTGCGGCCGAGCTTCGTGGGTGGAGTGGTGCAGGAGGAAGCCTACTGTGGAGACCTACTGTGAATTCTCTAGTCGCGTGAGGGGAGGACCTTGGATGGATGGATGTTGATGGAGCTGGTGGAGGTGGAGGGGTCCGGGAGTGCCCGTCGCAAGAAGTGCCTCTAGTTCATATTTTCGCAAACTATTTAGACTTTGCTAGAACACAGTATAAAATATAGTCCTGGAACTTCGGAGTAGTTCATGTTCAGTGCAATGTGGAAACGCAAAGGTCTTCAGTTCTGAAGTTCTTGCCTAAAGCACAGGAGAGTAGAATAACAGAATTTTCCAACGAAATAGGTCGAGAAGTTGTCTGTGCTCTTTTCTCCGATAATTCGTGCTCTTTGTGACCTAATCTCCTAATGATGCTACATTGGAACAGGTGACTTCAACCACTCAACTTTGCCTCTAATACATCATCACGTACCACTCCATTGTCATGCTCCCTATAAAACGCCTCCACCACCCAGTGGACAAACACAAACACAAACACAAACACAAACACAAACACAAACACAACAAGCTTCTAGGGAGACCACGAAGTCCTATACCCAGTAGCCATGGGACTCATCTCCTACGCTGCCATGTGCCTCTCGCTGGCGTTTCTTCTCCATTCCTACGCCGCCGCGACGGCGCCAACCGGCATGCTAGAGCGGGAGACCAAGCAGCAAATCATAGCGAGCATCCCGCCGCACGGGCAGGAGAACCCCGTGCTATTCCTGACGTCGCCGTCCGGCAAGTACGCGGCGCACTTCATGCGCAGCCAGACCGCGCCGGGCGCGGGCGGCCTCGGCGCCGACTTCTGCTACGTGGAGATCCTCGACACCGCGGAGCCGGGCGCCGAGGGGCGGAGCGTGTGGGAGTCGGAGTGCCTGGCGGTGAGCACCGTGAACACGTGCGCGCTCGTCTTCTCGTGGAAAGGGCTGGAGGTGTTCGACGGGAGCAACTCGGTGTGGCACACGCACGACACGGAGTCGGACGACAACAACTTCCTCAAGACCCTGCAGCTGGTCGACGAGGGTGACATGCGCATCCTCGACAAGGGCGGCGAGCTCGCGTGGAAGGCCAGCGACGAGCCGCGCGCGGGGCAACACTGCGGGATGCCCGGCTCCCCCGGCCTGGTCTCGGCAATGCCGCCCTTCGCGGAGCCGGCTGGGCACGGAAGCGGCAACCTGCCATTTGGACAGGAACCAGAAGGCAATGGCAATGCCGGTGTAGTACAGCCCGCGCTGCCGCTGCCGGAAGCGGCAGGGTCCGGTGGTGTCGCTGGGCAGGGGCAGGCCGTGGAGGACGTGGGGCAGACGATTGGATTTGGCAGCCAGCCATTGGTGGACAACAGCCCATACGACAGTGGTGCACCGAAGCATGGATGCAGCTTGCTTGGATTTGGTGTTGCACTGGGTGTCAGTGCTGCCATTGCCATGGCCCTCGGTCTCTGATCGAGGGTGTGCATGCGCTCTTGCGGCGTGGTGGCGTTGGTGGTTTGTCGAATTTCTTGTTATTATTTCTGGCGCAATAAGCCAGGGATGTGTTGTGAACTCCTGACCAGCCGTGGCGCTTTTTCTGGGCGTGGGCCTGCTGGTAGGATTGCATTGTATCTTGAGACCACGAAGTGTAATTTTTCGATTGTTCAAGTTTGCTTTGTAAACCACGAAGTGTGGTTTCTATCAGGCTGAGCCCATCTTTAGGCTCTCACTGAATATTTGAGACATAATAACGTACTACCCTCTGTAACTTTTTATAAGGATCCCTTTTTATATGACGTTTTTAAAGTCTATGACAGTGTAAAAAAAACGTCTAATATTAAGTTATAGAAAGAGTATTAAATAAGTAGGATATTTCACTTAAATAATGTGTTGCTCAGTCTTAAATTGGGTCCTCTAAACTGTAATGACATATTGAATTAGATGCAATCTAATTTTTCGATATCACAAAATCATCTAATATCATGGGGATGGGCTAATGACCCACCAAGATTAGAGATCGGATCTTCGATTCTATGTACGCACTAACCTGAGATTCAGAGATTTCTTATCAGGAGGGAGAGTTGCTCTGTATTAATAGAACACGAGTCTAGAGAGCAAGAAACTGAGCCAAACACTCCATCGTTGCAAAGTGAGGTGCCGATCACCAGCATCAACAGTTTGCTTCGTCGAATATCCCTCGTCAATATGCTATTTTTTGGAGGTAGCACACAAATATATGTTCATACTTCTATAAAGGTGAAAAATAATGAATGTTGTTCCAATTCCCATGAAATTCCATGCTACACACAACTAGCTTTGATAATTTCTTAACATGGTTAATCTCCATTGTAAAGTTTCTTTTTACTATCATAACACATCATTTATCACCAAAGAACTGGTCTTAAAGATCCTAGCTGAGAAGTTACATATATGTTCATACTTATAATGTGGCACCTAGTGGCAATCAATTTTTTTAGTCCAAACAAAATATCATGGGGTATTGTTTTAAGCCTTCGTCGAGACGAACTCACTGGTGAAGATAGATCGTTAACTAAATCAACGGTTTGTGAGATAACTCATTTTAGGAGTTTGAAATGGCAATTGATATGATGAAATCGGTATGTGGTGGAAGATTCTTATATGTATACATATGCTCATATTGAAAATTCACAAGACTTGAAGACTAATTTCATACACGTTGCCCACATATATTCGCCCCTTGTAAAATATATATACTACATAGATTAAACTGTGAATATTAATTCTATGCTAGATAAATACACAAAGAATATGCTACACAGTTATAAGAAAATAACTATAGCAAGATAAACGAAAAATTAAGACAATTGCACATTTTTTATAAATATATAGTTATGCTCCTATTTATAAATATAACTAAACTAAATTAATATATGAAAGAAAAACGAAACCTCCATAATTCTCCCCCACTCAACTCAAAAAGGAGAAAGACCAAAAAAAGCTCAAAAGGATCACACACAAAAAGCCCATAAACAACAGGAAGAATCCCAACTAATCACAGATTGTACAAAGCTGATCGGATTGCTAAGATAGTTGACCAGTATTAATAATTTTTCTAACAAAGACTTAACAAAATTTTGTATACTCCTTCGAAAATAAATTAGTAAGATATTGATTCATTGTTAAACTTGTTGAGTGGAAGTCCAAATTCTGACGCTGTCAGATCGACTTTGTGCTCGTTTGCTTTACTAATCTCCCACTGATATATTGGATCCGGTGACTTCAACCACTCAACGAGCTAGGTGTTCCACCAGTCAACCATGCCTTCGCCATCGTCATGCACCACTCCATATCCAAATCTCCCTATAAGAAGCACACAACACCCCATGCACAATGCAAGCACAAGCACAAGCACAAACACAGAAGCTGCATCTGACCAGGTAGCGAAACCCAAGCATAGCCATGGAGCTCGTCTCATGCATTGCCATGTGCCTCGCGTTCGCCTTGCTCCTCCCTTCCCACGTCACAGCGACGGCGCCAACCGGCACGGTAGAGCGGGAGACCAAGCAGCAGATTCTGGCGAGCATCCCGCCGCACTGGGAGGAGAACCCCGTGTTGTTCCTGACGTCGCCGTCCGGCAAGTACGCCGCCTACTTCATGCGCAGCCAGACCGCGCCGGGCGCGGGCGGCGTCGGGGCCGACTTCTGCTACGTTGAGGTCCTCGACACCACGGCGCCGGGAGCGGAGGGCCGGAGCGTGTGGGAGTCGGAGTGCCTGGCGGTGAGCACCGTGAACACGTGCGCGCTCGTCTTCTCGTGGAAAGGGCTGGAGGTGTTCGACGGGAGCAACTCGGTGTGGCACACGCACGACACGGAGTCGGACGACAACAACTTCCTCAAGACCCTGCAGCTGGTGGACGAGGGTGACATGCGCATCCTCGACAAGGGCGGCGAGCTGGCGTGGAAGGCCAGCGACGAGCCGCGCGCCGCGCAACACTGCGGCATGCCCGGCTCGCCTGGCTTGGCACCGGCAATGCCGCCGTTCGCCGGTCCGATCGGAAAGGGGAGCAGCAACTTGCCATTCGGGCAAGATGAAGGAGGCATCGACGGCAACAGCTACGGTTCCGTCGGAGGAGTTGCGCAGCCCGAGCTGCCGTTGGCGCCGGGTGGCGTTGGTGGGCAGGGGCAAGAGGAGAGCGTTGGGGAGACCATGGGCCTCGGTAGCCAGCCACTGGTGGACAATAGCCCATACGACAGCGGTGCACCGGAGCGTCCATGGGCTGGAGTTGCTAATTTGGGTCTCGGCGTTGCAATTGCCATTGCCATGGGCCTGGGTCTCTGAATTTGATACTGGTGGCATCTTCGATTTGTTATTTAACTTGGTGGTATCTATTCTGGCGCAATAAGCCAGAGGATGTGTGGGTTTTATTTTTTCGGAAATGTTAACGCCCACATGTGTGGGCGTTTGCACATCGCTCACACACCTCCATCATCACTCATTTTGCAATGTATGAATAGATGATATCAGCAGAATTTTTTTTGGTTTTCGGCTTAAAAATGTTGTATCTCTTAAATAAAAAGTGAACTAAAAATCCGTTTTTACCATTAAATCCATCTCGACGAGATCTTCAAAACTAGACCCCATGTTGATATGTTTCGACGAATTTTTTTTTGTCAGAAGTTGCCACGATGTTTACACTGCAGTTGCCATCGGGCTTAAACTAAAGTTGCCATGTGGCAATTTTAGTTTGTAGGTCATGGCAATTTTAGTATTTTGATGATGGCAACTCCAGTACTTTGACCATGAAAATTATTTTTTGTATGAACCATGGCAATTTTACGTGCATGTATCATGGCAATTTTAGTTTATGGTTCATGGCAAGTCTAGTTTCTTAATTCCCCGTTTTATAAATGTTAAAATTTACTTTTAAATGTAGAAAAAAATAGCTAAAACATATCATGGCAACTTCAGTGTAAACATCATGGCAATTCATATGCAATAGATATGGCAACTTTTAATCCAAATTTTTTTCATCAAAACATATCAACATGAGATCTAATTTCGAAGATCTCATCGCGATAGATTTAATGGTGAAAACGGATTTTCAATCGGATTTTTCGTTTAAGAGATAAAACATTTTAAAAACTGAAAATCCAAAAAGATTCCTACATGCATGCATGCGATGACGTGACAATCTGTTTACATTAGAGACGTGTGGTACGTCTCCCTTCCTGCCACACGTGTGGCAGTTAGCGCGACCCTATTTTTTTGAGTTGAGGATGTGTGTGGTTTGAAGTGATGCTTTTCATGATTCTGATTGTATTTGTATTTAATATATTCAAAATGATTTTTTTCAGCGTTATTTATTTCTTCTTGTAAAAAAGTCAACATGCTGTCGTTTTTCCTTTATATTAATGATGTATTTCTTACGCATGTTGTAGCTCCGAGGAAGGCACTAAAAAGGGCATGCCAGATTCTCCTCTCCGACGAGCTTACACTAGTAGTACTAGGAGCAACAATGGGTGGATCCCTCACCCAAATCATTGTGGCCGAAGGCCGGAGGAAGAGGAGAGATCCGAATGAGGGGGTGAGGAGGAGACTTTGGAGATTGGGCAAGGGAACGCGGAAGGGAAAGTGGTGTTTCTTACGCGCACATTGGTTGATACCGACATCTATCGAGCTATGGTTGTCTCGAAAAATACCTTCTTTTTACAAAAGCCTTGTTGAATACTTGATGAAACTTGTCGGCGACATGCACTAGGCCTTGATCTCTCATCGACATAACCATGGTGTATGTGTGTGGCTTCAATGACTTGATCCACTTGTGGCCCAACCCATTGTAGCTTCGAATTTGTGCTAGTGTGTTTGCGTTTGTGTTGTACACATTGAGTTACCTAGAGCAAGCTCAGTCCGCCCCCTTAAAACCTCATATCCTCTACTTTAGGGGCAAAATGCCCAAAATCTCACACCACTTCTACCCCATTTTTTCCCTACATGTAGGGGAAAAGGACGGGACCCCCCTCATCTCTCTCATAAAAAAAATCAACTAACATGAATGTTCCCTGCAACAACTACCACCGCCATCTGTCGCCGGAGTCCGCCGGTGGCCTCAGGCATGGCGGAGGTAGCTAGAGATCGCCGGAGCTTGCCACCTATCGTCATCATGGATTGCCGGATCTCATCTGAGTTCAACATGCGATTATTTTTCCTTTTTAAAGCGAAAAGAGAGACGAAAAAAAATTAAGAGGATAATTTTAGGGGGTGGTTGGAGTGCCTACCCAAAAGTCTCTAAAGTAGCGGCAAATTTTGGGGTAGTAGTTGGCGTGGGTCTTTACTCTTTACGCTCTACAGCTCTAGAATTACTTCCATGATCAATTTTCTCTGATCCGTCGACTTCGAGTACATGAAGAGAGAAGAGTATGTGAATTTCTCGACTGATCGTCTGCATAACGGCGACTGTGAGCGTACGTTAAACATTCATTAGCAGTTCCAAGAAAATAAACACCATTTGCACGATCATAATTGTTGCATCGTGGCGTGAAGCGCCAACACGGCGACGCTGGCCACGCAGAGGTACGCAATTCCGGCCAGTGTTCTTTTCCGTGCTCCGGCCGTCAGTCATGGCACGCACATGGCCGCCGCAACCAACCTCTGTCCTCATACATAAACCATGCGCCGTGCGTTGGTTATGATCCACCCCGACAGATGAAGCACACCACATCAGTGAAGAACCGCAAATGATCCAACTCTCTCCCCCTTCTGAAAATTTGAAATTTCGCACGTCCCGGCCGTTTTCATTTCAAAAACGGAAGCGCAAAACGCATGACTGGTCTGTCCAGCATAGAGCAGTCTAACCCCGGGCATCCAAACAATTGAACGGGAGCTCGATCAGATCAGGGGCAAATTTCACATATGATATCGCGTTCGTCGGACAGGCGGGGGTTAATTTCTCTGACAACGACGCAAAATTGAATCGAGCGTAACTACTGTACAGCTCGGTCGCTGGGGAAAAAAGGTAGAATCACGGACGAAATGATCGTTGGAGTTGTACTGAGTACTGACCATCCACTGTCAAATTTAGAAGCCCATTGCTGAATTTTTCTTGTTCCCGCCGAGCTGTTCACATGAGCACCAGCCAGCAGCCCAGTACCAGTCCCTGCTGTGATATCAAGAGCCGACCCCGGCCACACTGTCACACCGCCCTATATATACCCATGCACACCAGCCTCTTTACCTCATCCAAACTCACCAGTGTTTCTTCTACTAGGCAGCAGCAGCAGCAGGGTTCTTCCATCATGGGTTCTCGGCTGGTTCTTTTCGGTGCTCTCGCTCTGCTCCTGGCCGGCAGCTTCGGTGCGGCCCAGGCGGCGCCGGCCGTAGTGGTTGGCTCCGTCAAGTGCCTGGATTGCTCCCCCGACGACGTCAGTGCTGAAGATGCCCTCAAAGGTACGTGCCATCGCTCCTATACGTTTGGCTGTAGCTATGAACACTTTGGTCTTCTCTCAACATCTTCCCATCAAGTGCAGGGCTCCAGGTAGCCATCAAGTGCAGGTCCGGCGCCGGCGAGACCTACGAGACGCAGACGGTCGGGCAGCTCGACGACAAGGGCGCCTTCAGCGTCCCCCTCCAGGCAGGCCTCCTGCGCGAAGACGGCGAGCTGGACCGCGACTGCTTCGCCCAGCTCCACAGCGCGCCCGACACGCCGTGCGACGGGCCGGCGCCGCCCAGGATCGCCCCAGCCAAGTCCACCACCCAAGGTGTCGCCGACGCCGCCAACACCTACCTCGCGGTCGCCGAGGACACGGTTTTCTCGCCGGTCGCGTGCGCGTGCAAGAAGAAGAAGAAGCACTTCATGGTCGGCCCGCCGCCGCCGCCCCCGCCGAGGCCGGAGCCCTCATACGGTACCCCGACGCCGACGCCGACGCCCACTCCCACGCCGTCCTACGGTCCTCCTTCGACGCCCAAGCCGCCCGCGCCCGAGGACGACCCGAAGCCGTTCTTCCACAAGCACCCCAAGATGAAGAAGATGATGCACAAGAAGAAGCCGTGCCCGCCGCTCGGGGAGGAGGACAAGCCCAAGAACTGACCTGCCCTGCCGCGACACATGCAGCGGCGGCTCGCTCACTTGCCCATGGAGTGGCATTACAGCAAGGAGGGGGCGTCACGCGCTACGACATTTGGAGATCGATATGTTTGTGTTGTTTGTTGATTCAGTTGTCATGTTGCATGTTGGTTGTTTTGTTTAGTTCCGCCATCGTGCTCGCATTGGTGTTTTAGTTCGCTGCTCGTTCGTGGAATAAAGAAAATGGTATCATCTGCGGCATAACATTGTCATGTTAATTTCCAATTAGAGCTTTGCATTTGCGAACTGGTGGTTATCGGACGGGTAGTACTTAGTGTAACTATCTTGTTGGCATTACGTAGAGTCGAGCATCCAGAAAAGAAAAGTAAACAGAGGACTTTTTTTATAGCATAGGTGCGCGATTTTAGCGCCGCGTCGAAAAAATTGTGTTTTTTGCACGCGCCCAGTCGGAACGGACACACAAATAACGCGTGCGTGGTATAGTTGGTTCAGCGTGCGGAGCAAAACGATATCGCGCGCCGCTTATTTCGTGCGCCCGCCCCCGCGCGCTAGACAACGACGACTCGCGCGCGACTTCCACCAACCGCCAGATCCAAGCGCTGCCGCTCGCACCTCCCCATTTGCTCCGGCGACCCGACGGCGCTTCCCCGGCCTATCCTCGTGCACCGCTGTTGCTTCCTCCACCTCTCGCCGCCACCGCCCCTCGAACGCGCTATTCCTCCGACGAATAGCGCCCGGCCGCCCACTGCCGCTCGGCACCCGCAAGATGTCCCAAATTACTTGTCACAAAAATACGTCTAGATACATCCATTCATGCGACAAGTAATCCCGGACGGAGGGAGTAGATGAATTTGGTCCATGTTGTTTGTAGTTTTATATAGACTAGTTTAAATTCAATATTGTAGATGAGTTCGTCCTATGATTCTTCCGATGAAGAATTTGATATTCAAGAGGAGTAGGACCTTGCAATGATCCTAGCTATGCACGTCAATAAAAAGCCAAAACACGGTGGTTAGGACAAGGATTGTCTGACGTACTGCATTGTGCAGTTCGATCACTGACATGTGGGCCCATCATCCGGATGGCCCACATGTCAGTGACCCAACTGCATACTGCCGCACGTCAGGGGAGTTGAGTCCCGGTGGTTCGGTTATGGGTCATCAATTTTTTTTGGAGGGATAAGATCGATGCGACAACAGATTGATGAGGCATTACTTTTGTGACGCCCCCGATTCAATCGTACACTAATCATACATGCAAACGTGTACGATCAAGATCAGGGACTCACAGGAAGATATCACAACACAACTCTAAAAATAAAATAAGTCATACAAGCATCATATTACAAGACAGGGGCCTCGAGGGCTCGAATACAAGAGCTCGATCATAGACGAGTCAACGGAAACAACAATATCTGAGTACAGACATAAGTTAAACAACTTTGCCTTAAGAAGGCTAGCACAAACTGGGATACATATCGAAAGAGGCGCAGACCTCCTGCCTGGGATCCTCCTAAACTACTCCTGGTCGTCGTCAGCGGCCTGCACATAGTAGTAGGCACCTCCAATGTAGTAGGAGTCATCGTCGACGGTGGCATCTGGCTCCTGGACTCCATCGTCTGGTCGTAACAATCGGGTATAGAAGGGGGGGGGGGAAGGGGGAACAAAGCAACCGTGAGTACTCATTCAAAGTACTCGCAAGCAAGGAGCTACACTACATATGTATGCATTGGTATCAAATGGAAAAGGGTAGCATATGAGGACTAAACTGCAGAATGACAGAATAAAAAGGGGATAGCTAGTCCTATCGAAGACTACGCTTCTGGCAGTCTCCATCTTGAAGCAGTAGAAGAGAGTAGATGGTAAGTTCACCAAGTATCATCGCATAGCATAATCTTACCCGACGATCCTCACCTCGTCACCCTGTTAGAGAGCGATCACCGGGTTGTATCTGGCACTTGGAAGGGTGTGTTTTATTAAGTATCTGGTTCTACTTGTCATAAGGTCAAGGTACAACTCCGTGTCGTCCTTTTACCGAGGGATACGGCTATTCGAATAGATAAACTTCCCTGCAGGGGTGCACAATATTTCCCAACACGCTCGGTCCCCTTTGGTCGGGCAAACTTTCCTGGGTCATGCTCAGCCTCGGAAGATCAACACGTCACAGCCCCACCTAGGCACAACAGAAAGGTCAGCACGCCGGTCTAAATCCTATGGCACAGGGGTCTGGGCCCATCGCCCATTGCACACCTGCACGTTGCGTACGTGGCCGGCGAGCAGACCTAGCCTCCCTTATACAAGAGCAAGCATTCCAGTCCAACCCGGCATGCGCCGCTCAGTCGTTGACGTTAAGAAGGCTTCGGCTGATACCACGACGCCGAGTGCCCATAACTGTTCCCGCGTAGTTGGTTAGTGCGTATAGGCCAATGGCCAGACTCAGATCAAATACCCAGATCTCGTTAAGCGTGTTATTTTGAAATAACTACGGACGCCGACCAGGGCCAGGCCCACCTCTCTCCTAGGCAGTCTCAACCTGCCCTGTCACTCCGCCACAAAGGTTCACTCAGAGGGCCGTCGGGAGAACGTTTTTTCGGACCCAATCCGTGAATCACTCGCGGGTACTCTATGAGCCGACCCGTCTTTAGTCACCATTATTATCATACATTATGTATAAGTATATACCCGTGATCACCTCCCGAGTGATCACGGTCCGATAGTATAGCATGGCAGACGGACAAGGATGTAGGGCCACTGATGATAAACTAACATCCTATACTAAGCATTTATGATTGCAGGTAAGGTATCAATAACTGGAGCAACAATGACAGGCTATGCATCAGGATAGGTTTAACGGAAAGCAGTAACATGCTACACTACTCTAATGCAAGCAGTAGAGAGAAGAATATGCGATATCTGGTGATCAAGGGGGGGGGCTTGCCTGGTTGCTCTGGCAAGAAAGAGGGGTCGTCAACAGCGTAGTCGATCGGGGCACCAGCAGCGGCGTTAGTCTTGTTGTCTATCGGAGAGAAGAGGGGGAAGAAACAATGAATATAATGCAAACAGATGCATAGCGATGCATGACATGACAAGTAGCGGTGCTAGGGGTGCCCTAACGCGGTATGAGGTGATACCGGTGAAGGGGGGAAACATCCGGGAAAATATCCCCGGTGTTTCGCGTTTTCGGACAGATGAAACGAAGGGGGAAAGTTGCGTGTTCGCTATGCTAGGGATGCGTGGCGGTCGAACGGGCTGCGTATCCGGATTAGTCTCGTCGTTCTGAGCAACTTTCATGTACAAAGTTTTTCCATCCGAGCTACGGTTTATTTTATATTAATTTTAATTTTTTAAATGATTTTTAGGATTTATTTAATTATTTTAAATCAACATTATCCAGAATAGTGCATGCTGACATTAGCATGACGTCAGCAGTCAACAGGGGTGTTGACTGGTCAAACTGACGTGTGGGTCCCATTCATCATTGACTAGACTAACTAATCATGACTAATTAGTTTAATTAGCTGTTTAGTTTAATTAATCAAAATTAATTAAGTTAATTAATTTTTAATTTATTATTATTATTATTTTAATTCTTTTTTTTAATAAAACGTTTTGGGGGTGGGCCCTGGCTGTCATAGGCCCATAGGCCATAACGGGGCGTGGTTACGGGCTTCGGGGATTCGGGCGCCGCCCGTTTGGTGAAGCCGTGCGGGGTAGGGGGTCAGCGCGCGCCAGCCGGCGCCGGGAACGCCGGTGAGGCGCCAGCGGCAGCGGGCCGCGAGCGGCACGACAGCAGTAGCGAGACGAAGCAGCGCGGGGGCATGCAGCAACGTGAGGGGCGAGGCACGGGCGGAGAGGTGGGGCGGCGCGGCGCGCA